AGATTTTATTTATTTATTTGACAGAGACACAGCGAGAGAGGGAACACAAGCAAGGGGAGTGGGAGAGGGAGAAGCAGGCTCCCCGTGGAGCAGGGAGTCCGATGTGGGGCTCGATCCCAGGACCCTGGGATCATGACCCAAGCCGAAGGCAGACGCTTAACGACTGAGCCACCCAGGCGCCCTGACAACTGGGTATTAAAGTGACATCAGGTTTCTGCTGCTAAATTTCTCAGAGGCTTTTCTGCACTAAACTGGGAATACCAAGATGGGAATCTGTTAGATTTGATCTCTAAGTGTTTCAGGTAAACTCTGCATTACATCCCCTGCTGTTCTGATAAAAGTACACTACTGGACAACTAATAGGAATTTCAAGGAGCAATGCCCAGTCTTAGAAGGAAATACTGGCTGACAGGAATAATTCACTTTAGATAAAAAGTCCATTTCATTTCCTAAAGGAAACATTCATTCACTGTTAGTAGACACGTGCAATGAAATACTGCTTTAATGTTACTTTTTATAGCAATAATAATTTTCAACAGCAGTGATAGCTGAGACCCACGTGCGTCAGGCACTATGTAAATCTTTATATGCATGATCTCACTTGACCCTTACAAACTTCCTCAGAATGGTAAATTCTCAATCCAGAGGGAGAAACTGGGCACATTCCCTCAGGGAGGTTATGTAATTTACTCAAAGACAGCACAGAAATGAAAAGAGCAAGGGGTGGAACCCCGATCTGTCTGGTACCAAAGCTATTATTAACTACAGTGCTTCTTTCTAAGTCGCATCACTGCCCTGTTTGAAAACTTTTATGATTTTTTAACATGTAAGAGAAAAAAAACTTCATATACTTTGACTTCGCATTTAGTGCATTTCACAAACTGATCCCAAAGTCCCTTCCCAGCCTGCCTTTCCCCCCCCTCTTTCTTTTCTCCTTTTACAAACTTCTCATTCCATCAAAGAGCTTTCCTCACTGTCCTGCCCCTTTCTTACACTTCTCACCTAATTTGGTTCTTGCCCACCTAAATTCCTCTGCTTATGCCATCTTTTCATGGTCAACAAATTCCTCCAGGCTCCAGTTCAAATTCCATCTCCTGTATGTAACCCTTGACCGCTCACTCTCTTATGCTCCACAGCCAGCAAGAACGCCTCTTGGCTCCACTTCCAAAATAGATCCAGAATCCCACCACGTACCACCGCCACTGCCATCTTCCTAATCCAAGCCATCACCATATCCCACCTGGTCTCTCTGCTTCCATTCTTTTACCCCCTGCAATCTATTCTCATCCCACCCTCCTGAGTAATCCCTTTAAAACATAAGCCAAGGGGCCCTTGGGTGGTACAGACCATTAAGTGTCCGACTCTTGGTTTTGGCTCAGGATCGTGGGATCAGGCTCCGCATCAGGCTCCGAGCTCAGTGCAGAGTCCACTAAGGTTTCTCTATCTCCCTCTCCCTTTGCCCCAACCCATGCTCGTGTGCACTCTCTCTCTAAAATAAATAAATCTTTAAAAAAACAATAAAATAAAACATAAGCCAAAATCCTCCAATGAATCCCCTTTCTTCACTGTAAAAAACAAAGTCCTTTTCTACGTTCAACCGTGAATACCTGCAATGCTCTCTCTGCCCCCCAACCCCTCTGCCCTCCCTCTGATTCTATCCCTTGCTGACTTCCCATGCCCTGAATTCACCAGGGATGCTCATGTCTCAGGCCCTTTGCACTGGCTGCTCTCTGTCTGGAATGCTGTTCCTTTGGCTATCTGCAGGCTTGCCCCTTACTTCAAGTCTGCTTAGATGATCCATGACCTATCATGACCACCTTCCCATTCCCCAGCACTCTACATTTTCCTTATCTTGCCTTATTTTCTCTCTTATAACTTACTACAGTGTTTACCTGGGTTTATTGTCTGTCTTCCCATGAGAGCAGGGCCTTGGTCTTTTGTTCACTGAGGGATCTGGGAGCCCAGAATGGCACCTGGCCCAAATTAGGATCTCAATAATTGCTGAATGAATGAATGCGTGGATGCTCTCACACACTTCAAAGGCTCTCCTTTGCTCTCACTTGTACCACTCGCTTGGCACTTACCATACACTGCTGTGTCTTCTTTTGTGTGCACCTACTATTCACCTAGCTAGACTATGTGTTCCTATAACCTCTAAGTGCCCTGTACAAAATTAGCATTTAGCAAATATTTGATGATGAATTATCAGTGCAGTGCCTTTTTCTTTCAGAGTAGATACAGGAATATTTTTTCAAAAGATTCCTTTTTGACATTTCCTTTAGAAAAATAACATTCTGGAAAGCAGTATAAGAAAAAGGATATAAGTATTTTATACGCACGCACACACACACTATAACAAATCCATGTCATGCTCTGAAAGGAAAATATTTGCTTTGTGACTTTCACAGCATCTTATAACCTGAAGACACTGAAGACATTCTTGAGAGTCAAGCTCAAGGTAATGTTTTCAGTTAGGCAATCTGAAACACAGAATATATTTTAAATGAGAATTATGAGTTGGGAAATTATGTAACGTGACAAAAATAAAAGGTTAATGTCAAATAGGTTTTATGTCTTTTTTTGATCTTATGATAGAAAGTTCTAGCTGGGGAGTATTTAACTGTAATGAAGAAAATGTATTCTATAAAATAATTTATCTAAATTTATATTATTTAGAGGTATTTAGAGAACTGAAGGATTCACTTCCATGAACACTTGAGCCTACTCTCTATATTGTGCATTTTGTGTTGCATACACAACATGTGTGTTTCTGAAAACCAGTTGAGACAACTTTGTAACATTAGCTGCAGATCTCTTCCTCATCTTGACTGCAGCACCTGCACAATTCCCTTTGTGAGGGTGGGCGGGGAAGCTCTGTCAACAGACTCCTGCACCATGTATGGTAATTTCTTAATTGATTATATGTCTAATTTAACTGTAAAACTTGAACATGGCTGTGCAAATGAAAAAAAGGCATATACATTAATACATTAGTACTTGGAAGATACCATCAAAAAGATAAGCAAATTTTTGGGGGGCGCCTGGGTGGCTCAGTCGTTAAGCGTCTGCCTTCAGCTCAGGTCATGATCTCAGGGTCCTGGGATCGAGCCCCACATCGGGCTCCCTGCTCCGCAGGAGGCCTGCTTCTCCCTCTCCCACTCTCCCTGCTTGTGTTCCCTCTCTTGCTGTGTCTCTCTCTGTCAAATAAATAAATAAAATCTTAAAAAAAAAAAAAGATAAGCAAATTTTCTATGGGTGCACTAGGTGTTTCACATGGCATAATGTCAACTTTACATATCTAAGTATGTGAAGGTCCTCCCCACCCCCTTTTTTTCCAAACAGCATGATTACCCAAATTTCATTTCTCTTTGTATTATTTTTTTTTTAAGATTTTATTTATTTATTTTACAGAGAGAGACACAGCGAGAGAGGGAACACAAGCAGGGGGAGTGGGAGAGGGAGAAGCAGGCTTCCTGCCAAGCAGGGAGCCCAATGCGGGGCTTGATCCCAGAACTCTGGGATCATGACCTGAGCTGAAGGCAGTCGCTTAACCACTGAGCCACCCAGGCGCCCCTCTCTTTGTACTATTCTTAACAATTTCTTTCAGGTTGTTTTATCTACACGATATATGCTATAACAGAAAATAACAAGGATATCATGTGCCATATAAAGTCAGATGAGTAAGTAAAAGAGTTTTAAAATTTGAAAATAAAACCATCTTGAGGTCTATGGATAGAAGCAGCTCCAAACATATCGAGTTGTAAATATTCATCTTTTAAGTGTGATCACACCTAGAAAAAAGGGGTTGGGCTCCCATTTATCTCTCCAATCCTGAGATTCTTACAGATCTGGAGAATCAGAATACACATAGGAAGAATAAAGTGACCTATTCCTTTTTTTTTTTTTTTTTTAAGATTTTATTTATCTATTTGACAGAGAGAGACACAGCAAGAGAGGGAACACAAGCAGGGGGAGTGGGAGAGGGAGAAGCAGGCTTCCCACGGAGCAGGGAGCCCGAAGCGGGGCTCGATCCCAGGACCCCGGGATCATGACCTGAGCTGAATGCAGACACCTAATGACTGAGCCACCCAGACACCCCTAAAGTGACCTATTTCTAAATATATTTCTTTGCACTTCTAGGAAATGCCAGAGTTAAATCTAAATATAGCAGCATTCATTTTTATTTTAAATCCTAGAAGACATACTTCCAAATCAAAACCACACAAAAATAACTTTCATGGGGCGCCTGGGTGGTTCAGTCGTTAAGCGTCTGCCTTTGGCTCAGGTCATGATCCCGGGGTCCTGGGATTGATGCCCCGCATTGGGCTCCCTGCTCCGCGGGAAGCCTGCTTCTTCCTCCCCCACTCCCCCTGCTTGTATTCCCTCTCTCGCTATGTCTCTTTCTGTCAAATACACAAAATCTTAAAAAAAATAATAATAATAACTTTTACTCTCAGTAATCAGGAGAAAAAAAAATCTGATTTTTTGTGTGTGTGTGGGTAATAGTCTCTATATAGAAAGAGTTACTTCTAAATTTTAAGACATTTCTCCACATTAAAAAAATATGTATCTAGTATTCTACTTCTTAGGTTATTTCCAGTTAAAAAACTAAAATTTACTCTAGAAAACTTTCTTTGATGTGAATTCTAACTTCGTATGTAACAAACGTGTTTGCCAAACACAAAGATTTTAAATTTAATCTCTCAAAATGGCATACAGGTTTCTCCAGTTCTACTGTTTATTGAGAAATTTTTTTAAAAAAATATTTTATTTTGGGGGCACCTGGGTGGCTCAGTCGTTAAGCATCTGCCTTCAGCTCAGGTCATGATCTCAGGGTCCTGGGATCGGGCCCTGCATCGGGCTCCCTGCTCCACGGGAAGCCTGCTTCTCCCTCTCCCGCTCCCCCCCTGCTTGTGTTCCCTCTCTTGCTGTCTCTCTGTCAAATAAATAAAATCTTAAAAAAATAATAATAAAAAATGTTTTATTTTTAAGTAATTCTACGCCCAGTGTGGGGCTTGAACTCACGACCCCGAGATCAAAAGTCACATACTCTACTGACTGAGCCAGCCAGGCACCCTGAGAAATGATTTTTGAAAAAATAAATTATAAACTACCCTAATTTATTTTATATTCATAAAACTATCAGTTATACTGCGCTGAAACTAAACTTATTCAACAACTATGACTTTTTTTTAAATTCAGGGGAAATGCTTAGGGCTTTAATACTTATTGCTAAAAATATACTGATGGGAGTGGCCCTAACACTGTAAAAAATTTCCTAGGAGCACTAAACTTTTCTAAAATAAAAATTTAACCATGAAACCAGATAAGCTGATTTATCTTTTAAAAAATTACAACAGGAGTCAAGGCTGAAATATGCTGCAAGCAACTTTTAAGGATGGTGGATTCTGATACATACAATAGCAGTCTTCTTACTCCTTAGTTATGGTCAAAATATTTACAGTCCGCATAACAAATTTTGAAATTCTCTCTGACATGACACTTACCACAAGATTTTGAAATTCTTCATCTCTCTAACCGAGGCTTCCCACTAATACGTAGTGCTAACACGTTGGTTCTCATTGGGCGAGGCGGAAAATTCTAGTTAGTGCTTGCAGCCTGGCGTGAAGAACTACCTCAAACTGTTGGGTGAGCTGCATGAGGCTCAAGAGCTGCAGGTCAGCCCTGGTGAACTCAAATCTACAGTGAGAATGTTTCATGATCTTTTACTACTGTGGCCCCTCAGGGCTAAGCTTTCTTGTACAGTCAAAAAGAAAAAAAAGTAATTACTTTTGACATGTTATCTTACTGGTCACACTTAAATACCCCTTACATTCTATCTACAGTACGGCCTCTTTACAAGAACAATTCCTTCAAGTCAATCACACTTTGAGCCTTTTAAATACTTTCTCCCCCAAATCTGTACTTCTAATTACTGTGCTTGCATTGACATTCTAAGCAAAGGAACAACTTGAGCTGTACCGTATCATCTTTAATTTAGGTCCTAAGTGTTCTTTTCTGATTAGGATTTTTTTTAAGTGAAAGATATGATTCATAATCTCTGATTGCTACCAAATATAGAGCTAAAATGGTCCCCATGTTTGACTCACCATACTATGCAAATAAAAACTGAATTATCTGCAGAAGGAGAATAACTGCTTTGACCTAGAATTTAACTATCACCAGAAGAGACTCTTGGGTTTTTTTAATCACAATTTTTACTTATCCATAAAAACACTACTTTTCCCTATTCTTCCTATTGAAATAATGGTCATCCAATTATAAGATATTAAAATGTTCAGTAGGCAGTCATTTGTAGATTAAGTTTATACACAGGCTTAATACCAATGGCAAAATGTATGATGAATGGATCTACAGTATATATTAAGATCCCGGCTCTGACCTTTAGTAAAGCAACCTTGGGTAAATTATTTATCCTCGGTAAACCTGTTTCACTATCTATAAAACAGAGACAAAATCTACTTCCAGGGTTATTTATGAGAATTTAATAATATTAAACACCCATTGGGGCCTGAAATAATGTTAAGGTTTAACAAATATTTTTTCTCTTTCCCTCCATTTTCTTCCTTGTAAAAATGTTTCAATTACAGGTCAGGACATACATAAAACATAATTTCTGATGATACAAGGAAGCATCCTGGATTTTGGTTCAACTGAGATAAGCCTTTCCTAAAAAGACAATACTTTTCACACTTCATTCCCTCACATTCTCACATACAGGGTTTTTATTTCAGGTAATGTAAGTGTTTAATGTGTTTGCAAGACAGCCAAAGAACCCACAAAACCAGAAAATGTTCCACTTTACAACTTTATTAAGAAGAAATTTATCATTTAGTCACAACCAGATAAAGTCGATGAGGATTAAGAGGAAGGGGAACTTGGGTTTAAGATCTGGTACAGTGAGGTCTCAGGATCTTTTCCTGAGCACAAGCACAAAGGAGGTAAGAAAAAAGGAGATCAAAGCCCCCAGCTGCTTCTCCCCAAAACCTCTTTCTTCCACTTTCCTATACAAACATGGGTACCACCCTCTGAGCTCTCCTGAACTGCACTAGAAATGGGCAAGCCATCCCCAGCAGAGCCACAGCCTGGGTTCCTACCCCCACGAAGCGAGGTACCATATACAGTTTCCATTGTAGGGCTTTCCTTTAAAGTCCACATCCCATTCCTTTACTGTCAGCACTCCACTTCCCCACACTCATTTAACAACCCCTCCTTTTCTGCCAGCCCCCTCACTTACTGTATTTTCCACTTCTACTCTACAACATTATGGACCACAGAACCATGCCCTGCAGATGGATCTGGTGCGTTACTTAATTCATGTTGCTTCATGACAGCCAAGTACCCTTTCTTTTGTCCATTTTCCCCCACATCTGATACACTCCACAAATTTACTCCCCTCTCCTTAAACTCAAAGCCTTTTGCCTCTGCCCCTGACAAATGAGCTTGCTATCTTCTCAGTAAAGACCACAGACATCTATTTTGAATCCTATCATCTACCCTGTTCTCCTTTTCTCTAATTTCATATTACTGTTACTCCATAGGCAAGTTGGGGAACAGAGGACCTCACTCAGGCAAGAATGAAGACAGGGAGGTTGAGGGGAGTGCTACACACTTCCACTTGGTATTGTTTGAATCTTTACAAGATTATTTTCCATGGGGCGCCTGGGTAGCTCAGTCCATTTTGGCTCAGATCATGATCTCAGGGTCGTGAGATCTAGCCCCAAGTCAGGCTCAGGCTCTGCGTTCATCTGCTTGAGATTCTTTCCCCCTCCCTTGCCCTTGTGCATATGTGCATGTGCTCTCTCTCAAAACAAATGAAAACTTTTAAAAAATGATTTCCCCAGTACTTATTTTCTCCCTCCTTGCCTGTAATCTTTCTCATCACCCACAGAGATCAGAATATATAAGGCACTGTAGATCTCAACCTATCTGAAAAACCTTTCCCTTTGGTTCCTATCATTTTACTCTACCTGGGTTGTCAAACTAGTCAGCAAATCTTTATTGAGTGCCTGGCTTGTTTTAAATGCTATGCTAAAGGGTCAGAACAAGTCAGTGAACAGGGAAAGAAAAAGTATAAGGTTTCTTGGTCCCATTCCAGAATCTCTAGGTTCTGCACACACAAGATTGGGACCGTGATAAGTGGAGATGTTCTCCCTAGCCCCAGGAATTTGATATTTGATTTTTAAAGCTACTTTCTTCCCCAGAAAATACAGTACTCTGCAAATTGTCCAAGGCAGCATGCCAATAACATCTGTACCTGCCACATAATGTTTCGATATTAACTCATTTTTATTGTGGGTAAAATACCCGATGTACCATCTTTAAGCGTACAGCTCGGTGGCCTTCTGTCCATTCACACTGCTGAGCAGGGGCTGCCACTACCCGACTCCAGGATTTTTCATCAGCTCACCTTGAGATTCTGTACCCATTAACTCATTTTTTATTAACCAAGAATGATCTTCATGATTAACCTCATGGCCCCCATCTCCATTCCCTTCTCTTGCTTTCCTACCCAGTGAACACTCCAAGGTTCCTTATTTTAATTGCCCCCTGCAACCACCTTCAGGTCCCTATCTTCTCTCTTCTGTCACACCGGGGTTGGCGGGGGAGACTCCAGTCCTGGTCAAACCAATCCCCTGCCTGCTCTTGGCTTCCCTTGTAACAGGTGGATGTCACTGGCAGAAAACCACTCAACTAACTGGATCAACTGGTTTCAAATTCTGACCCGAATGTCTGAATTCACAGCCAGACAGTCCTGTGAGCAGCAATCATACCTCGTTTCCCAGTGACTTACTTCACAGTCCTGCTGTCCAGGGCGAGGAGTCCTTCTCACCTCAAACCATCCCCACCCCTCCTTCCTTAACTGCTGGCCTTGCCTGAGACTTCACTGAGAACATAAAACGTGAAGCCCTGATTTCTACCCCCAATTCATACACGTCCTTGCACTGTGCCCATATTCTCTGCCTTCTCTCCTGCTACTTGGCAAGTTGTCTGGCTCCCACCAAAGGCAAACCCTCTTGTGTTTTGAATAGCTTCTCACCTTCTCCAGAAGTCTGCACCTTTGGTAGTAATACCTCTCTTTGGTGTTAGTCTCCCGCTCCCTATTAGATATTCCCATTAGCCTACTTAAAAACGCTCTTCTATTCCCCATCATTTAAAAAGAAGCATGTCTTTGATCCTACCTCCCTCTCCAGCCACTGCTGTGCTGTCACTCTTCTCACCTTACAGCAAAACTTCCCCAACAAGTGGGCTCCGTTCACCTCATCCCATTCCCCGTGCATTCCAATTGGGCTTCCAACCCCATATGCCACAGAAACTACTTGTCAAACAGCCACCTCCATGTTGCCAAATCCTAGTGGTCACTTCTCTATCCTCAATGTTCTCAGCAGCATTTGGCAGAGACCATTCCCTCGTTCTTGAAAAGAATAATCCACTCTTTCACTTTCATGGGTAAACCTTCTCAGTCTCTTTTGTCCAACCTTGAGCCACTGGAAGTGTTTTATGGTTTGAGGTTAAGGCTTCTAGGATCATAAATGATCTCAACCAGTTCCATGACATACCATCTGTATTGCTAGTGACTCCCACCATTTAAGGCCACTCCTATCAGTCCAATCTTAATTATCCACTGCCTACTTGACATTCCATTTGGATGTCTTGCAAGTATTTAAAAAACACAACAGGTTCCACACAGAGCTCTTATTACCCACCCCTCCCTACCTGTTCTTCCAGTCTTCTCCACCAGCAAATGGCACTGTCAGTCACCAAGGCTTAGGCGAGAACCCTGAAGGCTTCCTTGATTCCTCCCTGTCTCCACAGCCAACTCATTAAGTAAATACTTCTGATTCCACCTCCATAACCTATCTGGAACCCCCCATCCACTTTGCTCCATCCCCCTCGCCACTGTATTTGCCTAAAATACCATCAATCTTGAGCTGGCCACTGCACTAGCCCTCACCTCTCGGCTTCCTTCCTTGCTCCACAGAGCGGCAGTGACCTTTAAAAAAAAAAAAAAAATCACTGCCCTAATGAAAGCCCTACAATAGCTTGTCATTTTGAATAAAATAAAACCCCAAACTCCTGGTACAGCCTAATATAGGAAGCCCCAAAGGATCTCTCAACTTCCATCTCATTCCATTCTCCTCTTGCCTCTCTCTAACACCCATGCCCTTCTGGGCCTTCCAGGTCTTTGCATTTGTTCACAGGCTAGCACAGTCCCCAGTTTCTCACATGGCTAGCACAAGCTTAAGTTTCAAGCCTCAGCTCAAATATCATCTCTTCAAAGGGATGCGTCCTGACTCTCACTAGCCAAGACAGCCATTCCCCATACCACGCTCTTTTAGATCTACCAACTTATTAACTTTTTACAATTTTTCTTAATCTGTAATTATCTTGATTATTGGCGTTTAACTTATTTCCTGTCTTCCCCACTATACTATAAATTCCATGAAGGCAGAGATCTTGCCTGTCTTGAATTCCACCAAAGGTTACTTACTTACTTACTTTCCTTACTTACTTACTTTCCTTCCTTCATTTGTTTATTTATTTATTTAAAAAGTAACCTTTACACCCAATGAGCGGTTTAAACTCACGACCCCAAGATCAAGAGTCGCATGCTCTACTGAGTGAGCCAACCAGGCGCCCCCAATAAAAGCTACTTTAAAATAAAGAACCTATACCTCCTATTTAAGCAGGTTTATTTTAGATTTCCCCTCCTTACAATCTTCATTGGATTTTAGTCAAAGAATATAATTACTTGGGCATTTATCATGAAACACAATGGGAGAAAAAGCACACAGGAGAGTCAAAGCCTAGACCTCCACCTGCCTACTGATCTAGACCGGACACGGACTGCACACAGGTATTCAGTAGCTGTTCCTTTAAAATTTTTCAAATGTGGAAGGAAAGAGAAATGTAGACATATGCAAAGATAATATAATTTTGTCATCTGCATCAAAAATCAAAGTTTTTAACCATTCCCCCAGCGATTACTAAACACAACAGTGATTTGAGAACAAAGAAAGGAAAGCACAAAGTAAGTATATATGGTTCTTGCTCCACAGAAATTAAAAGATTACATCACTGACTTGGTTCTCTTTTATTTCGGTCAGGTCAGCTATTCATCACCTGCTCTGGATGTTTCTTCCTGACCTTCTGTGTCCTATATGCATACGCTGTTCCTGAAAGGGTCTCATGTTTAGAATAATTTCACCATCTTACTTCCCAAAAGACAAAAGGTACCTTCACAATTGAAAATTCTGAAAAAAAAAAATCCTTTCTTCCAAGGATTTACCTCTAGATTTCACCTCCCCCTCCCCAGGATCTTTTCTACCCTATTCCTAATTTCTATCTCAATCCTAGATTCAATTCTATTTTTGTTGCACAGCTGTCTGGACTAAATTAGATGGCCCAGCTAGACCTAGACGCCTGCATGTTTTATAACTTCTCAGCAGAATGAGATATACTTTGGAAAATGTAGAGATTTTAGTCTCAGACTAGGTAAACCTTCTTTCTGTAAGAAAATGGTTCCAATAATTTGACAAACGGCAGCTAGAAAAAAAATAAGAGAGAGGATGAGCAATAACTGTTGAAACTCAAAACGATATGGGCCTCAAGTCTCACACTCCAATTCAAAAGAGAGCCAGCAGCACAGTGCAATACAGTGATATTCCAACTCCGTATCTGTCACAGTGGAATCACCTGGAGAACTCTGGAGTAAGAGACTCCTACGTAGTCAGATTTAGGGGGTGCTGGAGAGAATTTCAAAATTGGGAGTTGGGGCATTGGAAAGTTGAAAGCCAGAAGCTTAAAACTGAGATTGCCTAACACACTAGATGTTTTGAGGAAACACACACACACACATTCTACCATTTAAAACGGCAAGACCTAGAACAATTTGTGTATCTGGTTGAACACTAGTTCCTTCTCTGGTATAAACAGATAATAAAACCAATTATTGCAGGACTGATATAAACAGGAGTTAAATAATGCACCAGGGGCGCTTGGGTGGCTCAGTTGGTTAAGCGACTGCCTTCGGCTCAGGTCATGATCCTGGAGTCCCGGGATCGAGTCCCGCATCGGGCTCCCTGCTCGGCGGGGAGTCTGCTTCCCTCTGACCCTCCCCCCCTCATGTGCGCGCTCTCTCTCTCTCAAATAAATAAATAAAATCTTAAAAAAAAAATAATAATAATGCACCAGGCACATACATACAGCAGTGTTCAATATATGGTAGGTCTTATGAAGGGTGTCTAGAACAGCCACTATGTATACTGTGTTTATAAGCACAAGGACACACCTACTAGTGCCACTATGTTACTTTTCTCCACTAGAAGTTAACTACTTACTTTCCATCCCTGTGGACTCCTAGAGATCAGTTTTAGGAACTTGTTTCCTCCTCCCAATAATCTTTTCAGTAACAATTCAAAACAGTTAAAACCCCCACACCGCTTCACACAGAGCTACAAGAGGACAGATCAGTACTTGTATGGGTGGTTCTAAGGAACCACTTCAGGGAGTCCGGGAACTGAGAAGCCTTATTATATTCATGAGAAAGAACAGACACAAAACAGCGCAGGGTTTTTTTTTAGAAAAGGGAAAGGGAAAAAAGTCTCAGTTTCCAAGCGAGTTTAATTTTTCAGATCAGAGTTCTAACCAACTGCCCTAAGTTGCTACCGTTTGGAATAATTAAGATGAAAGCCAACAAGGTGTTTCAAATCACTGGAACCCATAACCTTTCCACAGTTTGACTACATCAATGTCTCCCCAGGATGGTTTTATAATAAAGCAACTAAAGAAAGAAAACGAAGGTGGGGTGCCTTTGGAGAACGCGGTCACTACAAGGCAGACACTGTCCCCGGCTTTTTCTTGCGATTTTGTAACCTGGTTGGACTCTACTCTTGAAAACTAACTGGAAGAGGATGAAGGGAAAGCCGCCCTGCCCGCCCCCCCCCAGTCAGGTCGGGGAAGACAAAGCCGGCCCATTCTAGGCCCTAGGAGGGATGACGAGAACCCCCCCTCCAATTTTGACCGGAGGGGCATGCGGGGTCAGAGGGGAACCCACCAGCTGCAAGGCCCGACCCCTGGCCCGCTTCTTCCCTCAAACACAAATGCTAAGGAGCCGGACGCCGCCAGCCCGGCCCCTTGCCGCTCCGAGCCGGCCACCTCGTCTTTTGGGTCTGGGGGCCCGGGGAAGACCAAGGCTACGCGGCCCCGGGCTCGGCGGGCCTGCCCCGGCCCCGTCCCCACTTACAGAACCCCACACCCTAAGCGTAGCTCCCCGCTGCCCCCGACCTCCCGGCGCCGCGGCCGGCGAAGCGTCCACGAAGGGCGCCGCCCGCGCCGCCAGGGAAGATGGCGCCCGCGGAGCAACTGCGCCACCAGCCCTGGCAACGGGCCAGGCCCAGCGCCATCTTAGTGCCTTCCAGCCGCACCCCCCCCGATCCCGCATTCGGGGCGACTCGGGGGGCGCGAACCACGTCGGGCCCGAGAGCTCTCGGCCAAAATAGTGCCGCTGCGGCCTCTCGTCTCTTCGGCCCGGCCGCGCGGGCCCGGCAAGAGACTCCTGGTCGGGCCGCGGGTCCTCGGCGCCGCGCGAGGGCTCATCCGGCCCCGGCCGCGGGTCCTCGGCGGAGCTTGGGAGCCAGGCGGCGAGGCGACGGGGAAGGGCCAGTTCGCCGGCGGGCGCGCGCCGCTCACCGGGCCGGACCGGGCCCCGGCGGGGACGGGCGGCCGGCTCCGAGCTCTCGCCGCGGCTGCCCGCAGAAGCGGCGGGAAGGAGGAAGCCAGGATGAAAAAGAAACCCGGTCCCCGCCGCCGCCTCTCTCTCCACCCTCTCCCCTCCCCCTCCCGAGACGCGGGGTCCATTTTGCCGAGAAGAAAGAAAATGCGATTCACACCCAAGAGCTGCCGAGAGAAAAGAAACGAGGGGGGGAAAACCGAGGGGAGGAGATTGGAAAAGCTTATTTTTCTTCCTCGCCCGCCGTCACTCCTGGCCCTACCCTGCCCCCTGCTCGCGGCCTCGCCGCGCCGTCCTCCCCTCGCCGAGCCCCGCTCCCTCCTTCCCGGCTCCCGGCGGCTCCGGGGGGCGGAAAACACACTCACACTCGCGCACACAACTAATTTTAAACCGGCTCAATCAATGAGTCATTAAAAGGCTTCCCTCCCCTCTCCTCCCCACCACCAACCGCCACGCCACCCCCCTTCCCAGGCTCTCCCTCTCCCCGCTCCAGAAATTTGCATCCGCGGAAAAGGAAAAAAAAAAAAGGCGCCGGGGCCCCCACCCCGCCGAGGCGCCCCCAGCCCGGCCCCGCCGCCCCCTGCCCGCGCCCCCGCCCGAGACACTGAACTTGGTCTTCCCGGGGCCCGGGCGGCGCTGGGAAAGGCATAAACACTCGATTCCCCTTTTCTCCGTGTCCATTAAACATCCACCCACCACCACCATCACCCACCCACAAACCCACCCCCCCCAAAAAAAACACAGCCTTAGCCAATAGCTCTCTGGGCTGAAACCTAATATCCTGGTTTTGGCAACTCGGTGTTTAATTTGCTCCTCTTTCTTTTCTGTCTGTCTGGAGATAGATCTCCAGCCCCCCCTCCCTCGCTTTCCCCCTCCCCGAAGGAAAGAGGCAGAGGAAGGAGGTTGTGTGTGTTTTTTTTTCTCCTTGAAATTTTTATCACAAAATTATAATACACTCAAAGGGAAACTCACCGTCATGAAAAAGCAGTGCCTTGTCAACGGGGTTTCTGCGCCATCGCACCAGGGGCGGCGGCGGCGGCGGCGGCGGCGGCGGCGGCGGCGGCGGGCGCGGGGCGCGGGGCGCGGGCGCGGGAGCTCCCGGCCGAGCGGCGCCGGCCACACGCGCTCCGCTCTCTCTCTCGCTCACCCCCGCGCCGGGCGGCGGGCGCCCGCTCCCCGCGCCCGCCCGGCCTTCATGCTCTGCGCCCGGGCAAACCGCTCGCCTGCTCGTCTACCTCCAAACTTCGGTTCTCGCCTAGCAAAAAATGTGGAGATTAGGATTTTTTTAATTAAAAAAAAATTTTTTTCCCCCAAAAATCAAGCTCCCAAGCTGTCAATTCCTGTTTCCTTTGGGATTCTTTTTAACTTCAGAAATGTATTGGTTTATTCAAGAAACAGGTTTATTTGGCTTTTTTTTTTTTTTTTAAGATCTACAAGATGCGTGCTATTCTCTGCAGGCGCCCGGCACACACACACACACACACACACACACACACACACACTCTCTCTCTCTCTCTCTCTCTCTCTCTCTCTCTCTCTCTTTTTCTCTCTCTCTCTCTCCCCCCAGTTTTAGCTCGACCGGGGATGGGGGCGCCGGGGGTTAAAAACAAAAAACACAATATTTGTTTAGAACTCTGATTAGAATCAGTAAATACCTTTTTTGCATATGCTTTTTAAAAAAGTAAAACAACACTTTCACTTAGTTATTTGGCAAATAACTGATTCATTCTAACTTTTAAAGGTACTAGGCTTTCCTTTGCAACACCCTCTCTTTCCATTCCAGAATGCCGGGAAACCTTATCTGTGAAATCTGTAAGTCAGCATTAAAAACAAAACAAAACAAAACACAACACAACTTTAGCGGCCAAGATGAAAGTGAGGAGCTGATTAAGTCACTTGAAACATCCAATTCCTATTGCCTTCTCTGCCTTCTCTTTACGTAGATATCCTTTATCACCACCAATATTCCAAATTTGTGAAATTTTCATTACGTGATCCCCATTCTTAAAAAGGGAGCTACCCAATCTTTTAACACTCTTTGGTGCAAGTTTATAATTACCACCCGTTTTTAATCTCAAATCTCAATTTGTTGAGACGTCTCCATAAACCATCTAGCCCTCAGAGCATTTATGTAAATGCTAATTATGATAGTGTGGATTGGGAGGGGGTGCTTTGTGTCTAGGTTAATTGTATTTACTTTTACTGTAAATGTCCAAGAAAATATAGTGGGGGTCTTGTTATCTTTTAAATAAACACCAAGGGCAGGTAAAAGATGAATTGTATAAGAATGTGACTCAGATTTTTAAAAAACTACATATGTAAGCTCCAGAAATGTTCAAATACTATTTTAAATTAGTTTGTAATACATACAGCAGTGGGGGTCCTGCTGATAAATAGAATGTTCGGACCCATGTCCCCCAGATATTTGGTGAGTTTTAAATCAAATTATCCCTAGATTTAAATTATTTAAGTGAAATTGTTTAGTTTCTACATTCCCTTAGAATTAAAAAACACAATAGTAGTACACCTTGCTTGCTTTTATAAGGATACTGTAACTACACTGTATTGCGCAAGATAAATACGTCAAGGTTGGCATACAATGTTGTCATAGTCAAGATAGAAAATCTTTTTAAAAAACAAACCATATCTTGCTCTAGTAACTGCTGCTCTGTCATTTCACAATGTATGCTTTGTATTTGGACATGCCTTAAAAATATATTCAGTGATTTAGTATCACATAGTATCATCGAGGTGTTTCCTCAGTAAATGTGCTTCACATTCAGCCAAGGCCTTCCTGGAAGAGTAGTCTTTGCATAAATTAGCATATCTCTCTACACTTGACAGTTGGACCGACCAGTTTTCTAATTGGCTTGGGAAATTTTTAGACATTTTTTTTTTAAGATTTTATTTATTTATTTGAGAGAGAGAGAATGAGAGAGAGCACATGAGAGGGGGAAGGGGCAGAGGGAGAAGCAGACTCCCCGCTGAGCAGGGAGCCCGATGCGGGACTCGATTCCAGGACTCCAGGATCATGACCTGAGCCGAAGGCAGTCTCTTAACCAACTGAGCCACCCAGGTGCCCTTTTAAAGATTTTATTTATTCATTTGAGACACAGAGATACAGAGAGAGAGAGAGAGCATGAGCAGGGAGAGAGGGAGAGGGAGAGGGAGAAGCAGGCTCCCCGCTGAGCCAGGAGCCCGACACGGGGCTCGATCCCAGGACCCTGGGATCATGACCGGAGCCGAAGGCAGACGCTTAACCATCTGAGCCACCCAGGTGCCCCTTTTAGACATGTTTTAAAGTGCTCTTGGATTGGATGGAATTTAATTATAATACCCATTTCGAAGAATTACATTTCAAAAGAGTTCATGGATTATTCATTGCAATTAGGACCCACCAAGCAAGTTATACAGCTCTGGCCCCACAGCTCCAATGAAATATTACTGGATTTCAGAAAGCTAGTCTCCCAAGTTGCCCGAAACCCCAAAGACACACAAATTTCACTTCAACAGATCACCAAACAAACCTGAATTTATATACTTATGTATAGGGCATTGCAGGATTTTTAAAAGAATGTCCACATATAAGAGCACTGACATTTCCTGAATGCCTATTAACCACCTAGATGCTTTATATACGTCATTGGATGAACCTTCCCACAAACCTGTAGAATAAGGTTTAATCAACCTGATTTTGTAGCTGAGACTCCCAGTGGTTTCAGTAATTTGCCTGAGGTCATCAGTCTAATACGGGCTGGTGAGGGAGCCCAAGTCAGGTTGATGCTAAAACTACCCTCTTCAAGGCCTGAAAAGGATCTTGGGAACAAGCAGTCCTCCCTGTTTTAATATAAACAGAGTTCAGTACTGTGGCACAAGCAGACGGGACAACTGTCTAATTTGTGACGACCTACTTTGAGAATGCCAGCCGTCAAATCTAATTTTAAACTTTGGGAGGTGTTGCAAAATCCTGGGACAGCAGTGGGGAGAATCTCAGATTCACCAGACACCACCAAAATTGGCATCACTTACTAATATAGCAAAACAAAAGCTTCTTTATTTTTTCCCATGTGATTAAAAAAACTTAACATTTTTAAATAAGGGATATGCCTTTGTACATAAAATTTAAAATTATGGTTTATATAAACAGGATTTTGGTATCTGAATGTGAAATCAGGAAACTTTTTAAGAGGAAACTTCTTAAAATGGCTTGATTGTACACAAATAACTTTAATAGTATTGCCTGTAATTTAATTATGTACAATTGAAATGGTCATTCCTGTGATTCCTATCTACGTGTGTGACTTAGAAAAAAAGAAGGGCAAGTGGACACAGAAAAAAAAAAAGTGATTAAATTAAAATTGAAATGTTCTAGCATGTGTTTGGGCGTCCAAATAAACAGGCCCGGTGTTCACATAACACAAGTTGAAATATATGTTTTTTATCTTTTCCCTTCATATGTTCCCCTTGGTTGGTGGGCCATTCTCAGAAGGGGAAGAAAGCAGATGCTGAGATTAGGTGGTGATGTGCATGACCAGATATGCCCCCATCACAGAAATGCCAAAATATACCAGATGTGTTAGTAAATGCTCTATACAGTGTGTGTGAAATAAAAATTGAAAAATTGCCAATGTGCATGAAGAAAGTGTATACCTTTATTTGTACCTCTAGAGGTACTTATATTCTGGGGCTTAAGTGCACTAGCTCTGTATTCAGGCTGACCTGGGTTCAAATCCCACCTTTGTCACAACCAGGTGTGTGGCTTCACCCTTCAGAGCCTCAACTTCCTCATCTATAAAATGGGGTAATTATAATCATGTCTGAGAGTTATTTTAAAGATTCAGGAACTAGTGCATGCAAAATGTTTAGCAAGGTACCTGAAACAGGAGATGGCACAGTGTTTAGCTAATATTACATTGTCTTATTTTAGTTATGCATCAGTAATTTATTTTAGTATGTCCCTTGTAATTTCCCAATGGCAATCTCATATGATTCAACCTAATTATCTCTCTCTTACGTTCCCTCCCAGATAGGGAGCTCCTCAAGGGCTTTCTATTCTCTAAGGGCCTAGCAGAGTACTCTGTATAGAGTTAGCTCACAATCAGTACTTGTGGGATAACAGAAAAACAGCCCAGTCCACAAGATGTGTAAGAACACAAGAAATCGATCTATATCTAGAGACCTATATATTAAGTGAGTGCAGTTAAGTCTCCTAGAACTACATAAAACCATTGCCTGATGGATCACAGGCAGAAGAGGCTAATGGTTTAGAGTTCTTCCTCCCCCTCACCCCACTCCTCTCTCTCTCTCTCTCTCTCTCTCTCTCTCTCTCGCCAGTTAGAGCTCTGTCATTGCCACTTTTTAGCCCTGTGGTCTCTTTGCCAACTTTTTAAACTCTCACCTCTGTTTCCTTATCTGTAACATGAAGATAACAATACCTGTATCTCAGGTTGGTGGAGGGAGAGTTAAATGACATTAGGTAT